TTAACAAATTGAGGCTGGGCACGGTGGCTCACACCTGTAGTTCCAGCATCTTGGGAGGCCGAAGTGAATGGATTGCTTGGGTCCAGGAGTTTGAGACCAGCCTGGGTAACATGGTGAGACCCTGTCACAGTAAAGAAGAGAAGAGAAGAGAGGAGGGGAGGGAAGGGAAGGGAAGGGAAGAAATTGATAAATCATGCTCATTTATTATTATTTTTTAAAGGGGCCAGATCCTTATTTCTTTTGCAATATTTGAAACACAACATGGGCATACATAGATATAGAATAATGAACAGTAAAACCTCATTTATTCAGAAGAAAAGGCTGAGGAAAACCGCTTGGTACAAAGCCCGATTTGCAGATATTGCCAATGATGTCAGTTTGTGTGTGTTTCCCGTAATTTCTGTAAATAGGATGGATTAAATTAAACCCTACTATTTTCAAAATCAGAACTTAAATTACGAATTAGGAAGACACAGTTTTCTATCCAATTAAAAGTACATTCTCTTGCAGTATAACGGTAACCTGTACTGAAAAAAAAACTAGATAAATGATATATTGGGCTTTTAAAGAATGTTTAGTAATTTAAACCTGATCAGTTTTTTATTTTATGTTTTACATTAATTATTATTGTTATGTTTTTGAGATGGAGTCTCGCTGTGTTACCCAGGTCCCTGATCTAGGATGAATGCAGTGTCTTTGCAGACAGATGGTCAGACTGGGGTGGTCGGGGGTCACTCTTGCTTTTGTGTTTCAAAGGTCCGTGTTCTGGTTCCAGTTGTGATACCCCAAGATTCATACGTTGAAATCCTAATCCTCAATGTCTCAGAATGTGACCTTATATGGAAATAGGGTTGTTGCAGATGTAATTAGTTTAGGTGAGTTCATACTAGTCCAGTATGACTGGTGTCCTTGTAAAAAGGGAAAATTTGGACACAGTCACACATACAGGGAGAATGCTATGTGAAGACTGAAGTTTGGCTGCCACAAGCCACGGGATTCTCAGAAGCGAGGAGAGAGGCCTGTCGCAGGGCCTTTCCCAGTGCCTTCAGGGGGAGCATGGCCCCACTGACACCTTGATTTCAAACTTCTAGCCTCCAGAACTGTGACACTGGAAATGTTTCCTGTTCGAACCATGCAACTTGTGGTACTTTGTTACAGCAGTCCTTGTAAACTACCGTAGCCCAGAACTCACCTTTTGGAGTAAATCTGAGTCCCTTCAGTGGATAATCTAGGCTATATATATATGTATGTGTGTGTGTGTGCAGTGCATATATGTATACATATACACACACATTTACATCAACATTTCTATCTATATGTATGGAGTAACTCTTCCCAAACCAATACCACAGGATTTAGTCTAGCTTTTCCCATCCCACATCCCGTGTCACTCTTCTCAGACAGGAAGAACAATAATGCTCAATAGATTTGTTTATTTGCTCAGTTTTCTGTATTTACCTAATCTCCCAACTTCACTGGGCCATTGCTATTTCTGGATGCTCTTCTTGGATGGTTGTCTCATGGGCCCTGACCTCTGCTGGGGCTGCCTTTCCTCAGCCCCTCCCCTCTCCTCCAGGTAGAGTTGAACCACTTGCCCGGGTAAGTGCACAGGTGTGGTGGGCTAAATAACAGTCCCCCAATAATTTCTACCTCCTACTCCCCAGAAGTTGTGATTGTGTGACCATACATGGGAAAAAGGACTTTGCAGATGTAAGATAAGGATCTTGAAATGGGGAGATTGCCCTGGGTTGTCTGGGTGGGTCCCAGATCATTGCAAGGGTCTGTATAAGAGGGAAGCAGGAGGATAAGAGGCAGTAGCAGGAGATGTGGTAATGGAGGAAGTGGTTGGAGTGATGTGGGGAAGGGGCCAGAAGCCAAGGCATGCGGGCGGGCTCTGATCACTGAAAAGGGAAGGAAACTGATTCTTGCCTGGAGCCTCCAGAAGTAACCAGCCCTGTTGACACCTTGACTTTAGCCCCATGAGACTGATTTAGGACTTTTGATCTCCAGAACTGCGAGATCAGTATGTTTGTATTGTTTTTAGCCACTTAGTACGTGGTTATTCATGACAGCAGCCACAGGAAACCAGTATACCAGGGATGCCAAGACTCCCTCAAGGAGGTGGACTCCATGTTCTTTAATTTCCCTATGAGTCAGGAGGCTTTAGCGACAGAAATCCAGCTCACTGCAGCTTAAGCAAAAGAAGATAATTTATTGGCGCACATCACTGCAGAGTCCAGGGAGATCTGGTTTCTCCGCTCACTGCTGGGGCTCAGATGATGGCTATGGCCGGGAATGTGACTCCATCTCTTGGCTCTGCTGTCTTCCAAATGGGCTTCAGTGTCAGGAGGCTCCCAGATGGCAGCAGGGACGACAGCCCAGGCAGCTCCTGTCTTCCATGACACCACCTGGCAGCCCTGGAGGGTGTGCTATGGCTATGTCCTGAGTGCTTAGAAGAGGTCCTGGTGGCGTCTCAGTGGCCCAGCTGGATCCATGATTGCCCTTGACCCAAGTACGGCTGTTTGATGGGGCCTGGGTTACGTGCCCACCCTGCAGCCGTGACCCAAGTACGGCTGTTTGATGGGGTGGTGCAATGGGAGCAGCCTCACATCAGCTGGATGGACTGCGGGCCAAAGAAGGGAGGTTCCTTGAAAGAAAGTTGATGTGTTCTTTTCAGTAAAAGGGGAAATGGAGACCAGGTAGCAAAAGCAACAGAAGCCCATGACAGCCATCCCAGGCTCCAAGTTTGGCTTTGTTTTGTTTTGAGTGATGGTCTCACTCTGTCAGCTAGCCTTGAGTGTAGTGGTATGATCATGGCTCACTGCAGCCTCCACCTCCTGGGCTCAGGTGATCCTCCCACCTCAGCCTCCTGAGTGAGGATTTTTTTTTTTTTTTTTTTTTGTAGAAACAGGGTTTCACCACATTGCCCAGGTTGGTCTCAAACTCCTGGGCTCAAGCAGTCCTCCTGCCTTGGCCTCCCAAAGTGCTGGGGTTATAGGTGTGAGCCATGGCATCTGGCCCTCTGAATTTTTTGATCCTAGAATTCAGACTTTGTTCTTGATAAATGTTGGTTGACTGTTTTGAAATGCCACAGACACCTCCACACCGAATTCTAATTTTGTTCTATTTAATTATCTTTATTAAATACATTTTAAATTACAAAGATGATAATATAGGCTGGGTTTGGTGGCACTCACCTGTAGTCCTAGCTACTTGGGAGGCTGAGGCAGGAGGATCTCTTGAGCCAGGGAGTTCGAGGCTGCAGTGAGCTATGATTGCATCACTGCACTCCAGCCTGGGCAATGGAAAAAGACCTTGTCTCTTTAAAAAAAAAAAAAAGATGATAATGTATTATACCTCGGGTAACTACTGAATGCATACAAAAAATGTGTATAAAGAAATACTTGACCCAAGTCAGAGGCCTGGAGTTTATTCTTCCAAATTGTTTTCTCTGCTCAGACACACAAGTATTGCCTTTCTTTGGTTAATATTGTGAGATTTTACAAACCCAGCAATAAAAAACCAGCAATAAAAAACTTTCTTTTCTCATGTCATGGGATCTCTTCAGAAGCCTGGGTTCAAGTCTGTCTCATTTTAAAAGAATTAATTTTTGGATGTTTCTGTAGGACTTACAATTCAAACAGCACAAAAGAGTTTAAATAAAATGTTTCCCCGACTCTTTTTCCCCACCTTCCTCTTCCCTCCCCTAAAGAATTGGGAGTCCTTGGCCGGGTGCGGTGGCTCACCCCTGTAATCCCAGCACTTTGGGAGGCCGAGGCGAGCAGATCCCGAGGTCAGGAGATTGAGACCATCCTGGCTAACACGGTGAAACCCCGTCTCTACTAAACATACAAAAAATTAGCTGGGCATGGTGGCAGGCGCCTGCAGTCCCAGCTACTTGGGAGGCTGAGGCAGGAGAATGGCGTAAACCTGGGAGGCAGAGCTTGCAGTAAGCTGAGGTCGCGCCACTGCACTCCAGCCTGGACGACAGAGTGAGACTCCATCTCAAAAAAAAAAAAAAAAAAAAAAAAAAAAAAAAAAAAGTAAAGAATTGGGAATCCTTGTGGACAGAGTTTCTACATTTACAAAGATATATACAGGGAAACGTTTTCCTTATGAATGGGAGAGTATTTATTTTTATTTATTAGTGTACCCTGGAGACTGTTCTCTGTCAGTACAGAGCCTGCCTCGTGGTTTGATTTTAGAGCTGCATAAGTTTCTTTGTCGGCTGTAGCGTCATTTATGTAATGAGTCTCCTACTGATGGACTCTCAGAATGTTTGCAGTCCTTTGCTGTTGCAAACAGAACTATAAGGAAGTAACCTTGTACAGTCATTCTGCACAGTATGGGTGTCTGTTGGAGGAGTTCCTGCAGGTGGAATTGTTGGATCAAAGGATGTGTGCAGGCCAGGTGCAGTGGCTCACCCCTGTAATCCCAGCACTTTGGGAGGCCGAGGTGGGCGGATCACCTGAGGCCACGAGTTTGAGACCAGCCTGGCCAACGTGGTAAAACACCGTCTGTACTAAAAATACAAAAATTAGCCAGGCATGGTGGTGCACACCTGTAATCCCAGTTACTCGGGAGGCTGAGGCTGGAGAATTGCTTGAACTTGGGAGGCGGAGGTTACAGTGAGCAGAGATCATGCCATTGCACTCCAACCTGGGTGAAAGAGTGAAACTCCATCTCAAAACAAAAGAAAACAAAAAGAGAAAAAGATGTGTGCAATTGAGGTGTCAATGGATGCCATCAAAAGGCCCTCCACTGAATTGGTACCAATGTGCGCCACCTCCCCCAACCACGAGCCAGATGCTGGAGCCGCCTGTTTCTTCACCAACGAGGTGGAAAGATGGGTGCCAACCTGGATCTCACTGTAGTGGAACCAGTCTTTAAAGTACAGAGCTGGCTGGGTTTAGGGTGGGGGTTCGTAGGGGATTCTTGTCTCTCTTCCTTGTGTCAGTGCCTCTGAGATGTGTCCTCCGTCCTTGGCTGTGTCTCCACAGAGCAAGCTGGTGAAGTACTTCAGCCGGCAGCTGTCCTGCAAAAAGAAGGTGGCCTTGCAGGAGCGCAACGCGGAGCTGGATGGCTTCCCCCAGCTACGGCACTGGTTCCGGATCGTCGATGTGCGCAAGGAAGTCCTGGAGGTGACCTGGGGGGCCCCTGTGTCCCCTGCCCCTTCCTGGCCAGCAGCTACCCCCTGGGTTGCTCTTGGGCTGCAGGTTTCTGGCTGTGCACAGCACAGTCCCTGGCACATAGCAGGCTTTTAATAAATATGTGCTGGACAAAAACATTCAGGATGACTGGTGCTGTCTGAATGGGGTCATCGAGAGTGTGCTTCCCGAGTCAGTCAGAACCCTTCAGCTCTGCCACATATTCACAGAGTCACCTTAGCTAAATCACTTCACCTCTTAGTCCAGCGCTGTCCAGTGGAACTTTCTGCTACGATGGGAATATTTTCTATCTGTGCTGCCGGATGTGGTAGCCGCTTGTGGTTAGGACATGTGATTAAGGAACTGAATTTTAAATTGTGTTTAACATTAATTAATGGGGCCCGTGGAAGCCATATTGAACAGTACTGTCTTAGAGCATTAATATTCTCATCTGTGAAATGTGCATAATGATTGTCATCTCTTCTTAAATAGCCAACATCATAGAATGAGATGATTTTTATACAATGTTAAACTCAGCTGGGCACAGTGGCTCATGCCTGTAATTCCAGCACTTTGGGAGGCCAAGGCAGATGGATTGCTTGAGCACAGAAGTTTGGGACCAACCTGGGCAACATGGTGAAACCTCTACAAAAAATACAAAAATTAGCCAGATGTGGTGGTGCGTGCCTGTGGTCCCAGCTACTTGGGAGGCTGAGGCAGGAGGATCACCTGAGCCCAGGAGGTTGAGGCTACAGTGAGCTGTGATCATGCACTCCAGCCTGGGTGACAGAGTAAGACCCTGTCTCAAAAAAAAAAAAAAAAAAAAAAAAAAAAAAAAAAAAAAGAAGAAGAAAAGAAAAGAAAGGCCAGGTGCGGTGGTTCATGCCTGTAATCCCAGCACTTTGGGAGGCTGAAGTGGGCGAATCGCTTGAGGTCAGGAGTTCGAGACCAGGCCAACATGGTGAAACCACGTCTCTACTAAAAATACAAAAATCAGCCAGGTGTGGTGGTGCACACCTGTAGTCCCAGCTACTCGGGAGGCTGAGGCAGGAGAATTGCTTGAACCCAGGAGGCAGACATTGCAGTGAGCTGAGATTGCATCACTACATTCCAGCCTGGGTGACAGCACAAGATTCTGCCTCAAAACAAAACAAAACAAAACAAAACAAAAAAAAGGTTTAGCTCATATTCTGGCACCAAATAGCATTCAGTAGATGCCAGGCTATTACTGCTGTGAGCATCTGACATCTTATGTCCACCCTCAAAGATTGGACCACGTTCTTAACATCTTGAGGATAGTGAGATTTTCTTACCCCCTGGGATCCCAGGGACTGATCCATTTGCAGTGACAGGGCCAAGCCAAACCTAATAAAACCAGCGGACATCACTGCATCTTTCATGCTAGGCATTGTGCTAAGGGCTTTGCACTTAGGATCTCAACTGCTGAGACTGTTCAGCCTCCTTGCAATGACCTTTTCAGTAGGTGTGACTGTTATCCCCCTTGTACAGAGCGGGAAACTGAGGCTCAGAGCTAAGTGACTAGTCTAGCTGGTAAGTGGATGGGGCTGGCGGGATGTCCAGCTCAGATGGACAGCAAAGCTTTAGGTTGGAAGGACTGTGCCTTAGCCTTGTTTCCTGTTGCCTGGGCCTCCCTGAACTGGGCAGAAGAGGAGCTTGCCCCCCTGCCAGTGAAACCAAGAGTCCTCTCTCACGGTGCTCCCTGCCTCCTGCTTGAAGAGGCTCCCTGTCTTTTTTAGACCTTGTCCGCAGGGACAAGAATCTCACCCAGCCCCACCAGATCTAAGAATCCCGAGTCAGATGCGGCATCACCCCGCTCCATTCCTCCAGGCCCCCACCCCACCCCATCTTGCATATGCACATCAGACCATGCACAATTCCATGTTTCCTTATTTCATTCTCAGCATGGCCAGAGAACCCAGATGAGTTTCTTGCAAATATCCTTAGAATGAACGGTCCTGCATAAGGACAGATGGCGTTGTGTTTGCACGGCTCAGGGAATTTTTTTGGGAGGCTTCAGGATCATTTGTCTCTCAAGTGCTACTTGTGGGGGCAAATAAGGCAGAAACGATTCTAGACCAGGGGCTGAAAACTGGTGGCCCTCAAGCTGGATCAGCTATGCAGACATTTTTTTTGTTGTCGTTTGGCTAATATGATGCCAGGACATTTATTTTGAGCCAATACTTAAAAACCAAAAGAGTCTGCCTAAAAATCCCAGATCTCTGGCTTCACTCACAAAATCAGAAATGTTGACCATGGAACTGAGCTCCTGTTTGGCATCGACTTGCTCATTTACATTTACCTGGCCTGCAGGTAGCTGAGTTGTGGCTGTTGCCTCAGTCAATGAGCATCTTGAGTCCAAGGTCACCACCCAGGGAGTGGGCGGGAGAAGATGAGGGGTTTCTGCTCTTTGTCTGCAGTTCAGGCATGTGTCCACCAGAGGTCCCCTTTCTGTGAAGTGACCGAAGTATGGAGAAAGCTCCAAAGTAAAACCGCTGGGTTTGAATCCTGGCTCCACCAATTACTTGCTGTGTGACCTTAGGCAAGTGGTCTAACCTTTCTGAATTTTACTGTCCTAGTCTCTAAGTGGTGGTGATAAAAGTGCCTACTTTCAGTAGTCTTTGTGATAATAAAGGAAATCTATCAAAAACCTTAAAACAGTGTTCCATCCATTTCAGCTATTGTTACTACTATTATTTTATCAAACAGAGGTGTGTCTGCCCTTTTGGCCCAGATTGTTAAGGGTTTCTCCATTTTTGATGTTAAAAAAATGTTGCTTTTATGATTTTCTGTGATCTTAAACTTCAGAGTAAATTGAAATTATATATATGTAAATCATAAGGTTAAAATGCACAAGTGAATCCTGAATCAAAGAGGAGAATCTTTTTATGTTATGAATCACCCCCTTCAAATGTGAGTCATTCTGTACCTTCAGATCCTAGACAGGGTGCAATGGCTCATGTCCGTAATCTCAACACTTTTGGAAACCGAGGTGGGAGGATCGCTTGAGGCCAGGAATTCGAAACCAGCCTGGGCAACATAGTGAGATCCTAGCTCTACAAAAAATTTAAAAATTAGCCAGGCATGGTGGTGCATGCCTGTAGTCCCAGCTACTCAGGAGACTGAGGTGGGGGGGGTCGCTTGAACCCGGGAGTTTGAGGCTGCAGTGAGATACGATGGCACCACTGCACCCCAGCCTGGGTGACAGAGTGAGCCCCTGTCTCTGTTTAAGAAAAACAACAACCAGAAACAAACAGGTCCTTGATCATCACCTTTCTTAAAGGGGCTCATCTGCAATGTGTCCCTATTTGAGAAAGCCTCTAAGTGACTCCACTATTGTTCTCTCTCTGCCCCCTGCCTGCCCTGGTGAGTTGAAAAGGCACTGATTGGGCTTCGACTTTTGCGCCATAGCTCATATTTTTGAAGATAATTTTTTGTGCTGAGACAGTTTTCTTCTTTCTGGCTATCAGTTTAATGTGGGAGCTGTATCTTGTTGTAATACACAAACGTGTAATACCCAAACATGACCACAAGAGGGTAGATGTATTCTGCAATACTGCCCTAGAATCACCATCCGCATGCTATTTCACCCTTATTTACTTTGGGAGGCTGAGGTGGGCGGATCACCTGAGGTCGGGAGTTTGAGACCAGCCTGGCCAACATGGTGAAACCCCGTCTCTACTTAAAATACAAAAATTAGCCAGGTGTGGTGGTTGGTGTCTGTAATCCCAGCTACTTAGGAGGCTGAGGCAGGAGAATCGCTTGAACCCAGGAGGCGGAGGTTGCAGTGAGCTCAGATCATGCCATTGCACTCCAGCCTGGGAGACAACAGTGAGACTCTGTCTCAAAAACAAAAAACAAAACAAAAAACCTTTACTTAAGTAATAATATATGTTAAGATGTTGAGTAGTAAGTGCTATAAAAGAAGACTCATATATACATACAGATATATATGCATAAATGTAGAAGCTTGACAAATTTTGAGGTGTCTCCATATGATGGTGTCTAGGGAGACACTGTTTTGGGAAGATGGGGTGGCGGTGAAAGTTCGCTTGCCAGCACATTGAGAATCCTACCTTTTCTAGGTCCCTTTCCCCAACTCCACGCTACACTCCAGCATTTCTGCTTTGCCTTAGGATGCAAAGCCATGCCCCAATGGGGCTCAAAAACAAACCTAGTTTCATTTCCAGCATGGAGCACGGACCTTCAATCCCTTTCCCATTAGGTTTTCTGAAGACCAGTGTGAGGCCTGGACTCTGCAGCCAGAGAAGAAAGGAAGCAGAGTGGGGCCCAGCCATCAGCGCACCTGCCTTATCCTGTGCTTGCTCTGAGTGTGTGCTGGGATTTCAGATGAGTCCCTGCGGAGGAGGCACTGGGAGCCATGCAAATATGAAAAAATGGGGCCCTGGCTTATAAACATTCGAGAGACAGGCACAGTGTTGACGCCAGACAGGGTAGTAATTATAATAGCACTAAGCACCTGCGCTACCTTGCCAAGTGTGAACACTTAGGAGTCCCACTTTATAGATGAGTAAAGTGAGGCCCAGAGAGGTTGAGCGACTGGTCAGAGGTTATCTAGCTAATGAGTGGCAAACCGGAGATTCGGAGACCCCACTGTTGTGCAAAGCGTTTGCACGGCGGAGTGTTCTCCTCTAGGTACCACTAGAGGGCGGGGTGGAGGCAGAGAGGCTGTTCCTGCCCCACCGTTGACAATCCTCTCTCCCCTCCCCTAGGAAATCTCCCCGGGCCAGCTGAGCCTGGAGGACCTCTTGGAGATGACGGATGAACAGGTGTGCGAGACTGTGGAGAAATACGGAGCCAACCGGGAGGAGTGTGCCCGCCTCAATGCCTCCCTCTCCTGCCTCAGGAATGTCCACATGTCAGGTGAGCAGGCCCTGGGGCCGGGGATGTGGAGACTTGTCCCCAGAACAGCTGCCACGGTCCCTCAGCATCTTGTGCCTGCCACTGCAGGCCAGGACGAGACAGTCAACCCTGGGGGGCAAATGTGACACGCAGGAAGAGGCAGCATGGACCTGGGATTTGGAGGCCGGAAGACGCCGACAAGGGAAGTTCTTGGGTTTGAACTCTTGCCCCAGGACGACCTGCTGAGGGTTAGGGTATCTGGTGCTGGATAATTAGGGTCCGGACATGAAAATGTTGAGTGTGTGTAGGAGACCAGGTTCTTTTTACTTTAGACATGTTTAAGTGCCTTTGCATTTTGGGTCAATGTCTAGCTTCTATTTTTTTATTTTTATTTTTTTACAGAAGTGATTTGCATTCATTGTAACATAAACCAGAAAATAGATTTTTAAAAAAATCGCCCTAAGCCCCACCCTCTAGGTAACTGCTGTTATCATTTTGGTATAATTTTTCCTGACAAATGGATATATGTTTACTTTAAAAAATAGAATTAGAATTATCCGTACATATTGCTTAAAATTTTTTTTTTCACCTGATAAAATAACCTCTGTGACTTGTATCAGTTTGGGGGCCAAATATATTGTCATCCCTCCTGGATGTTTTCCATTAATTGCTCAGATACCCATTTGTCTTTATTAGCAGAACATCAAATATCATCTTCCTGAGGCTTCCTGCTTCTCTCTAGCCTCATGATTTATCTGCAAATTCTGGGGCCTTTCTGTCCCAAGGGATGCGCTCTGCAAACGCCAGCCACGGAGAAGTGTTAGTGACCATCAGCACGGTTGTTTCAGTTCCCACCACAAGGTGTCACTGTTGAGCATCAGTCTGGCAGAGTCAGGTGGAGGCTCTCGGATGCCCTTGCTGGATTCAACCTGCTCTATTCAATAAGCATTTGTTGAATATTGTTCTAGACCTGGAGAAGTCTTCTAATCTGAGTGGCTATGGGGTGCCAGCAGGGCTGAGGAGGCAGCAGTGAACAGAACAGAACATACTTGAAACAGGTCATTGGCCTAGTCCTCCATGCGTGCCCTTTTGTATTTTTTTCTTGCTGGCAGATCCTGATTCAGGTACAGTCAGCATCAAAAGGGATCATGCAGCCGGGCACACTGGCTCATGCCTGTAATCCCAGCACTTTGGGAGGCCAAGGCAGGAGGATCTCTTGAGCTCAGGAATTCCAGACCAGGCTGGGCAAATGGTGAAACCCCATCTCTACAAAAAATACAAAAAAAAAAAAGTGCCGTGTGTGGTGGCACACACCTGTAGTCCCAGCTACTCGGGAGACTGAGGCTGGTGGATCACTTGAGCCCAGGACATTGATTGAGGCTGCAGTGAGCCATGATCACACTGCTGCACTCCAGCCTGGGGGACAGAGCAAGATCCTCTCTCAAAAATAAAGTGGGGGCGGACCATGCACTGGGGGCTGTCTTATGCCTTGAAGGATGTTTGGTTAGAAACATCCTTGACCTCTGCCCATGAGATACCAGTAACATCCCCCGACTCAAAGTCATGACACACGGAAATATCCCCAGATATTTCAAAACGTCCCCAGGGAGGCACAATCACTGCTGGCTGACGAGCTGTAAAGGTGATGCTACTCTTCACCTGTAGCACAATGGTGCTGACTCACCGAACGCGAGTGTGGCTGACACGGAGGGGCCTCTCAGTCACTCAGTACATACAAAATCTACTCCAAAGGTGACTTTCTCTCTTTACCCACAGTGAGAAGCAGATGGCAGTTTTCTCTCTTTAAAAAAAAATTGCAGGCCAGGCATGGTGGCTCACACCTGTAATCCCAACACTTTGGGAGGCCAAGGTGGAAGAATTGCTTGAACCCAGGAGTTTGAGACCAGCCTGGGCAACATAACAAGACTCTACCTCTACAAAAAAAAAAAAAAAAAAAAAAAAATAGCTGGGTGTGGTGGCATGCACCTGTAGTCCTAGCTACTTGGGAGGCTGGAGTGGAAGGATTGCTTGAGTCCTGGAGGCGTCAAGGCTGCAGTGAGCTGAGATGGTGCCACTGAACACCAGCCTGGGCCACAGAGTGAGATCCTCTCTTAAAAATAAATTGCACCAAATTACAATGTTATCTCATAAACATCTTCCTTTGTCAATAAATGCATTCACTTCTTATTTTTAATGCCTGAATACTAACACAATTTATTCAACCAATCTCCTATTTTTGGAAATTTGAGTTATATCCATACTTTTCCTATCATAAGCAATGCTGCCTGAATACCCCTGAGTGTTGTCTTTGGGGACCCCTGTGGCTATTCTTTTAGAGTGAATTCATAGGAGAGGAGTCTTGCAGGAAAACATTTGCATATTTTGGCCAGACACGGTGGCTCACACCTGTAATCCCAGCGCTTTAGGAGGCCAACGCCAGTGGATCACCTGAGGTCAGGAGTTTGAGACCAGCCTGACCAATATAGTGAAACCCCGTCTCTACTAAAAACACAAAACTTTAGCTGGGTGTTGTGGCACACACCTGTAATCCCAGCTACTTGAGAGGCTGAGGCAGGAGAATCTCTTGAACCTGGGAGGTGGAGGTTGCAGTGAGCCAAGATCATGACGCTGCACTCTAGCCTGGGTGACAGCGAGACTGTCTCAAAAACAAAAGGCAAAGACAAAAACAAAAACAAAACACATATTTTAAGAATTGTGGTGAACATTGTCATATTGCTTTCCAGAAAGTTTGTACCCATTTATGCCCCCACAATACTTGACAGTGAGTGTTTGAGGTTAGGTTTTTAATTACTTTTCAGAATTCACGTTGTCTCATCAGAGAGGCTCTACTGAGTTTGGCAGCATCCTTAGAAGTAGAGTGAGGTTCCAGTTTCTGTGAGAGAGGCATTTCTGTCAGCCTTATGGGGGCAGAATAGTCATTTTTTTGTAACATTCTGGGCTGCGCGAGAACATGAAAGGTCTTGTACTCTGATTTTTATTTTTATTTTTTGGAGACAGAGTCTCACTCTGTCACCCAGGCTGCACTGCAGTGGTGCGATCTTGGCTCATTGCAACCTCCGCCTCCTGGGTTCAAGCCCTTCTCTTGCCTCAGCTTCCTGAGTAGCTGGGACTACAGGTGCATGCCACCACGCCCGGCTAGATTTGTTTGTATTTTAGTAGAGATGGGGTTTCACCGTGTTGCCCAGGCTGGTCTTGAACTCCTGAGCTCAGGCAATCCACCTGCTTTGGCCTCCCAGAGTGCTAGGATTACAGGCATGAGCCATCACACCTGGCCCTGTCCTCTGATCTTTTTCAAAATTTGTTTGATCCAGATGGACAGTACAAGTACAATTTATATTGTGACCCCCTCCACACACATAGGTATACATACATGCACACCATGTAGCTGAACATACATATACACAATTATAGCATGTTTCATGAAAGAATAATCCTCCTTCCTATTCATGATGAAAGACGATGTTGTAAGTCCATTCCTGTTCTATGCTATATCATTTAGCAGATGCGGGTAATGTCCACTTTCTTTTCTTTTTTTTTTTTGAGATGGAGTCTCACTCTGTTACCCAGGCTGGAGTGCAGTGGCGTGATCTTGGCTCACCGTAACCTCTGCTTCCTGGGTTCAGGTGATTCCCCTGCCTCAGCCTCCTGAGTAGTTGGGACTACAGGCATGCGCCACCACGCCCAGCTAATTTTTGTGTTTTTAGTAGAAGTGGGGTTTTGCTATATTGGCCAGGCTGGTCTCAAACTACTGACCTCAGGTGATTCATCTGGCTCGACCTCCCAAAGTGCTGGGATTACAGGTATGAGCCACCGTGCCTGGCCTGCCACTAATTTTTGTTTTTGAGACAGGGTCTTACCTTGTCACCCAGGTTGGAGTACAGTGGTGTGATCACAGCTCACTGCAGCCTTGACTTTCTGGGCTCAAGCAATTGTCCCACCTCAGCCTCCCCAGTACCTGGGACTACAGGTGCACACCACCACACCTCTCTGATTTTTGTAGAGACTGGGTTTCGCTTTGTCGTTGCCTGGGCTAGACTCAAAGTCCTGAGTTCAAGCAGTCCTCCTGCCTCGGCCTCCTAAAGTGCTGGGATTACAGGCATGCATCCCCATGTTTGGTCAAGCAGCACTTTCATTATACACCTCACTATGGTTTGAACCTACACTGATCTCATTGATCCTTCTGCCTCCACATAGGCCTCCCTCTGGACTCTTCCCAGGCTGCTAAGACTTAGTCTTCTATGTCCTGCCTCAGATGCCAGCCTTAGGGCCACCGGCACCTTGAAAGCAATGGCCAAGTGCTCCTTGTTTACCCATGTTCCTACAGCACTCGGCACTGGAGTCAGCTGAACTCAGACTTCTTAGTAAAGAATTGTGTACCCATTTCTGATCCTTAACACTGTACTTCACCTATGCTGTTCCTGCAGGTAATGGTGCCACTTAAAACATTTACGCCGGGCATGGTGGCTTACGCCTGTAATCCCAGCACTTTGGGAGGCCGAGGTGGGTGGATCATGAGGTCAGGAGATCGAGACCATCCAGGCTAACACGATGAAACCCCGTCTCTACTAAAAAAAAGAAATACAAAAAATTAGCCAGGCGTGGTGGCGGGTGCCTGTAGTCCTAGCTACGCGGGAGGCTGAGGCAGGAGAATGGCGTGAACCCGGGAGGCGGAGCTTGCAGTGAGCCGAGATCGCACCACTGCACTCCAGCCTGGGCGACAGAGCGAGACTCCGTCTCAAACAAAACAAAACAAAAGAAAAACCCCAAAACAAAACAAAAAAATAAAACGATGAAGCACAACGTTATATAGCATTGCAAATTTAAGGAATAATAGACCTCAGATATGTCTTATAAGTTGAAAAGATAGAAATAATGCATATCATAGCCTAGATTGTGCCACTGCACTCCAGCCTGGATGACAGAGCGAGACTCCATCTCAAAAAAAAATTTTTTTTAATGCTTACCTTTTTTGGGGAGCAATTTGTTTTTAAATGAATGCC